AGGTAGGAAAATGCTAAATTTTATTTTATTTTTTCTCTAAACTGGCGTTTGTCGGCATCCCTGCCATTGTCCTAAAAGAATATGTTTCTGAACTGGCTCATTACGCCTTCTGGGTCTCACGTTTTCTACTGACATGAAGTGGGGCGATTATATTGGATAAATTCCTTGATTTGCAGCTAAGAAGTTTGGTTCACTGTGTCGTGTCAGACAATTTTTCGCATCAGAATCCATCTTGCCCACATATAAATCTACCATTCGTCCGTGCATTGAATAGTTGCTGCCTGGTGCTATCTCGAGATTCTCGACAAAATCCTAAGAAGGGTCTGTAATATTATCGGTCCTGACCTGGCATCTCGACTTCAGTCACTTTACCATCACCGTGACGTGACTTCCCTCTGTCTTTTCTATATTTTCATGTCAGTTATTCTAATGAGCGCTCCTTAAAAGTCTAAACCTTTCGAACAGTGATAGAACCAGTCCTATGGATCAGAAACTTGGACATTATCTGCTGTCTTGAAAGACGACTGGATGGAACACATATAAATCAACTTAGAAAAATCCAGAACATCAGTTGGAGATCCCATGAAAAGCTTAACACAATTTGCGGAGAACTGAGACCAATCTCTCTTAAGCGATTACAGTTTGCGGGCCACTGCCACCGAGCAGACAGGGAAATCGTCCCGTCCTTACTTCTGTGTCATCTTTTTAGAAATGTCTTCTCAAAAAAATTGACTTTCCCAGTTACCATAGCTCGGGACTCAGGGTTGGACATTGGGTATCTGGGGACAGCAATGCAGGAACGAACAGTGTGAAAGAGGATTGTACAATGGAGTTCCGACTAACCATAGGGATGTCGAAGGATGATGATGATGATGATGATGATGGTGAATGAGCGCTACTCCCCGACCACATGAATGTAAGCGTACTACTAGATTGGCAATTAGGTCTCATTGTTTTACTGTTGAACTAGCTAGATGTAAAAGCAAGTTCTATTCTAATAGTTTCTTTTTTCGCATTTATCACTTCTGGAACTTTCCTCAGGTTTCATGCTTTCCTGTGTTCTATAATCTACAAAAATGTAATAGAACGTCAATCGCCATGTTCTGCGTTCCGAATGTTCTTTCTTTTATTGTCCTTTCTCCACACTAAAGTTTTCTCCTTGTATTTTACACCCAGCTTTATAGCCGTGCTAGGGGGTGAAAGGATTATTAAAAAATGCTGACATATCTCTAACTATTCTATTATTCCGTTTACTTTTTTCTATAACATGAAGCATATAAGCTTGACAAAGATTTGTTCAAAATGCAACGTCAGTCGCCATTTTCTGTCTTCCTGAATTCTGTTATTTTCTTCTTTCTTCTCAGTAAAGTCTTCTCATTCTCTTCCACTGCCCTACGTCTTAGTGGCTTTATTGTCTTGCTTGGATTGAAATTATTAAAAAAAAGATTTACTTATACAATTTGAGATTCTTCAGTGCTGTAAATATCTACATGTATTTCCTATTTTGTTTGATTTTGTTTTTGGTTAGCGGCATATCAACCTCTAGGGGCTATTTACTGGCAAAATTGAAATATTTTGAACATAGCTTTATGGTTTCAACTGTAATGAAATTGCTTCACATGTATTATTGGTCAAATGCATTATTGCTTCAAATGTATTATTGGTCATTTTGCTATAAAATTTATTTTTCTTAATTCTATACTAAATACGCATTGTTGGTAATTTTTTATATATAGTAATGTATTGGTGGTATTTTTGCTATAAAGATGTATTTTTATACTTTCATAGTGTTTTGGAGGATTCTATTTGCCCATAGCTGGGGCTGTATCAGGTGGTGCCACCCCACGTCAGGGATGAACCTGAGAACTCCAGCAGTTAAGAGGTCGCTCCACGGTCTTAAAAACTTCCAACCTCCTGATCAAAGACCTTGCCACCGAATGTAGTTTCTCGTCATATCCGGGATTATCCTATTTTGTGCTGGGATTTCTAAATCTAAATCTAAATCTAAATTTCTAATCTAATGCTTTGATTTGATTTAATATCAATTTTTCGTCATCTCTCTTATTGCTTGTTTTGGTGTTGATAAATCGCTGACATATTTTACACCTGTCTTAAATAGGGACAAATTAATGCCTCACTTCAAGAAAATTCAATAAAAAGCACAAGCAGCGCCATTATTTTTTGCATCGGACGCACATCTAAATTTGGCGGCAAAGAAGTGAATGATATATCTTCAAGGTAGAAATTTGACATTTTTCTTTTTCTTTTTATTAATCAATGAAAGAAATAATAACGCTAAAACATAAAGGGTTCTGGAAGTGAAAAAGAATGAGAAAACTTTAGCACGGACCGGAAACCCAATCCTAAACAAGAAACAAGGGTTAAATCTCTACTTCTATTCAAAAGACCGAGGAGCAATATAAAACGATAGGTAGGAGAACTTGTCATCTCCTATTGAGGAAAAACATAAAAAAATAAACAGTATAATATAATTTCAAAGATTAAGTGGAGATATTAGAAGTATGGAGTTGAAGTAGAATTTAGAAAAAACGGGGAGCCGAATCCTAAACAAGAAACAAAGAATAAGACTATTCAAAAGACCAGGGAAGAGTGTGAACCGGACGATAGGCGAGACCTATGGCGAAAAAAGAAATAAATAGTGTGTGTGAGAGAAAAAGAGAGGGGGAAGAGAAGTGAGAAAAGGGAAGGGGAGAGAAGGAGGAAGTAAGCAGGGGAAAGAGGGAGATAGAAAAATAGCGAAATATGAATTTATCAAAAGCTTGTCTTTCGTGGGTGTGTAAAAGGAGAGTAAAATAAATTCATTCGCGGTAAACAAGATGTAAGCATACATGCAATAAGCAATCTTCCGCAAAAGCATCGTCCAGTATAAACTTGGGCAATATTTGGCTTAGCCGAGTAAAGTCCCACAGAATCTTCGTATTGCGAATCTACAATATTTCATCGCAATAGTTTTTTGTTTTATTTACACGTGTACTGATTTATTTATAAACAAAAGCAAATCGTATTGAGATTTTTGTGTCTTTTACGATGTCGTTGCAACTAGTAAAATCACGTTTATGTCATGCAGCCAAAACAAGTCTGGGTTTTCATCGAAATGGCTTTTTCTCAGCTCCTCGTCATCGTCGAGACACCATCAAACAATAAATAGACCTATTGGAAGACCTCATAACCATCTTTCAAGAAGAGAAAGTGGAAATGCTATGGACATGCCATAAGAGCTAACAATCTTTCCACTGTTATCCTACAAGGTGCGACTAGGCAAAAGAAGAAGTAGACAGGGGAAAATAAGTCCTAACAACATCACGGAGTGAACTGGAAGATTATTCACAGAGACTCCGACATTGGCAAGCAACGAAGACATATGGAAGGAGCTGGTCAGGTGATCAGCTTTGCAGTAAACTTACTTCCACACTTGGAATTGATGATGATGATGAGTTGAACTAACATTTTCTTTACTTGATATTGTGGTTACTGTTTGTTATCGTTAAAATACGGAAGCTGGGTTTGTCGTTCAACAAAATGGCGTTCTCTTTAATAACTCGTAGTTGGTTGATAGAGAAAGAAAGAGGCTTCTCCGTGTTTACTCCCCACACAAGATGGCTGTCAGATATAGGGTTTACATTACTCTGTCCCTTGTATCAAATTTGATCGTCATTTTGCATTACATTGTCCGTATTTTCCCTTTGGTATATCGACTTCAGGAATCATAGAATTGGCATATAGGTTTCATAATTTTACCGTTGAAATTGCTAGATATGATGTAAAGTTTTATTCCAATAGTTTATTCTCTCGAACCTGTGAAACTCTCTTCAAGCTTCCTGCGTTCCTGTCAAAAACGATGTTAAAAAATAAATATAATGACACCAGCCATTTTCTGACTTTTTAATTCTGTTATTTTATTGTTCTTTCTCCTCACTAACGTTTTTTCATTTCCTTTGAATCATTAATTTCTTGCATCTTAGTGACTTTATTACCTTTCTTGGAGTGGAATGATTAAAAATATCTTCTGTCTCCTTGTATCTTGTTCATTTTTAGCTCTTTCTCCTCAGCAACATTTTCTCGGTTTCCTTCGCTCTCAGTAAACCCTTGCGTCTTAGTGACTCTATAGCCTTACTTGATGTTAAATGAGTAAAAAAATCCTCTGTCTTCTTGAGTCCTGTTCTTTTTATTGTCCTTTCTCCTCAGCAACATTTTCACAGTTTTCTTCACTCTCAGTAACCCCTTGAATCTTAGTGGCTTTATCTCCTTGCTTAGCTTGAAAGATTAAAAAATTCCTCTGTCTCCTAGAATCCTGTTATTTTTATTGTCCTTTCTTCCCAGCAAATTTTTCTCAGTTTCCTTCATTCTCAGTAACCCCTTGCAGCTTAGTGGCTTTATTACCTTACTTGGGATGAAATGATTAAAAAATGTCTTCTGTGTCCTTGAATCATATTCTGTTTATTGCCCCTTTTCCTATGTAACATTTTCTCAGTTTCCTTCACACTTAGTAACCCTTTGCATCTTTGTGGCTTTATCGCCTTGCTTGTAGTGAAAGATTAAAACAATTCTTCTGTCTCCTAGAATCCTGTTCTTTTTATTGTCCTTTCTCCTCAGCAACTTTTTCTCAGTTTCATTCCCTCTTGGTGAACTCCTTGCACCTTAGTTGCTTTATCGATTTTCTTGTAGTGAACTGATTTATAAAAAATATATAAATATTTATACAAAACAGAACACAAGTTTGACAGACGTTATATCTGTGTCGCCTCATATGTTGCATATTTTCTGATTTTGATAATTTAATCTTAAAGAAGAGTCTCAGAGAATTTGGTATTCTCTAAAAGAGACAGTGAAGAAGAATCAGATAAACTGATGCAGTATATTTCTGCATATTAGTATTTAGTATTTAGCTTAATCTTCAGGTAAATGCTTTCATTTCAGAATAAGTTCTAGAAATAGACTTCCGTACTTTTTTTTATGACTATTGTTACAATTCTTCGGGCTTGCGACCGAATCACGTTCAAACACCGGATCTCGTACGATCACCGAAGTTAAGCAACATTGAGCTTGGTCAGTACCTAGATGGGTTACCGCTTAGGTATGCCAGGTGTTGTTAGCTTCGATGTGCGGTGTTGGAATGGATAACGGCTCATAATTGGAACTCGGAGTGCTGAGTCCTAATCCAGTCGAGTTCGTTATATTACGCGAGAATACCTTTGGTGAAGGTATGAATCTGTTGCTTCATCCTTACAGCTATGGGTTAATTAGTAAAACTTATATCAGTAAATCATTATTAACTCCCCCAAAATTCTTATAATTTAAAAATATTTTCTGGTTTTAATAACCTGCAAAAGGGTGATAAGCCATAAAAAGCAGTCAGTCAGTTACTATTCTATGAATTATCTAGATTATTATTTTGATTTTTGGTTTTCCAATTCCTTTGAGGAAGAATGAAAAGATTTCATTTCAAAATTTCAAACAACATTAAGAAGGTTCTAGTGTGAAAAGACGAAGATAGCAATTCGAATAATTCAAGGAAGATGGCAAGATTTTATCACAGAACATTAAATAACACTTCAAAGATCTGAGAGTATAAAGATGTTCGCGACAATTGTTATTTGGCTTCAGTAGATATACAAGCTGGATTTGTGTGTAGTGTAAGAGATGTCGACACGGAATGTAGAATAGTCTTTGAGGATTGCAAGGAAAGAGTTAGATTTTATCACCGATAAAGAGGCTCTATTCCTGCTTTGGGATCAGTTATACATCTAGACTGTTTGCAAATCAAAGTTAGTTTTCTGCAGTAAAAACGATAAGATTGAAACGATACTTTTCGTTTAGTATAAGCAGAAAAAAGAACAAACTTCAGTCGTATTGATTATTTGGAACCAAATCACAAAATCAGTTTTTCTCGATGAATTCCTGATGCCGTTTTTATCCACGAGATCGAACCCCGATCAATAACTTCATTGCTTTTCTCTTTAAATGGAAATGAGAAAAATATCTTCCCCGCCCCACAATAAAAAAGAAAAAAAAGTTTCTAATTTAAAAAAGTTAATTTGCAATATGCCAATGATTCAGAATAAAGCCAAATGTAAAAGCAGCCTTTTCCATGGCGAGTGTGATGATAGCTCCACCTACAACGGCTTTAACCGCTCTGAGTTATCGTCCTTGTTGGTTGTTGATGTTGTCTTGTTAACATTTTCTAATATCGATTATTGCCCTAAGCCGTTAAAAGGCTTTTACAAGCAATGCGCAAATGTGGGACATGATTGAAGGCGGAATTGGTGATCCTTAGACACGACTGAATTAAAATAAGAGCGAAGCAACCCGATGAAAAATCAGTGGAGGAGGGGAAAGGAAAAAAAAAGTGGAAATGTAGAGATAGATCAATAAGAAGAGACCAAGATAACAGATATATAGATATAAGCAAACACACACACACACACATACACACACACACATATATGTATGTATGTATGTATGTATTTCACGTTTTAGATCTAATTTATCCAAATCATAATTCCGAACTCTTCTTTTAGAAAGATGGAACACCTCCCCATTATGCTTTGTCAGAAAAAGAGGCAGCATCAAATGGCCATCACGTTCATTTGACCTAATAACAATTGATTTCTTTTTTTTGGGGGGGATGTAATAAAGAAGAATGTTTATGAGAGAAATCCCTCCACAGTGGACGAATTAAAAGAGTACATCTCAGAAGTTTTTATTGAAATTGATGCAGATCGAGATTTGTGTCGTGCTGTGTGTCATAGTGTTCTGCAGAGGTTCGAGGAATATTGCAATGTTGAAGGAGGACATTTTGAGCACTTAAGAAATTAGACTGTGCTAAACAATGTAAATAGATTGTTAAACAAATGTATATAAAGTTTTGAACAAATAGGATTGTAACAAATAAATATAAATAATTTTTTAAATGTAAAATACATACCTACTAAGTGTAAGCAATCCTTCAGCAATCCTTCATTTATAAAAGTTTAATTTAAAAGGACTAAAATGTTTTAAGTTTAAGTTTTTATTTAATTTTTCTCGTGTTCTTATAATTTTCTTTCTTTTTCTGGACATAAATTATGTAGAAATTGTCTAAATGTTCTCTATGGCCGAGCGTTTTCGGCTATACGTATAGCCATTATCAAGAATGATTATATTTTTACTTTTAGAGGAAAGCATGAAATTTTTTAATATATGTATCTAAAGTTATAGGGATGTTTTATTTTCCAAACACGGTCAGCATGTTGTGGCCGTGTTTATAGTTGATGTTATTGAGTGTTAGAAAAATTAAGTGAAAACCATAACCGCAGTACCTTGTCAGTCATTTTAACGAAACATATATATATATATATATATATATATATATATATATATATATATATATATATATATATATATGAAGAAATATAGTTTTATGGTGTGCTATATTTATGGCATAAAGTGCTCAATATCAGAGAGTGCTCAATATAGAGCGTATATAAATATGAATATAAAAGTGAACATTGAAGTCAACACTCAGAGGCGACGGACTCTTTCATGCTGGTCACAATCGTCAGGCCGCGAATGTTAGATTTTTCCTCGACTATTTATATATATGGGTTAGTGGTGCATAGTGGGTAATCTATTCTGGCGGTTATTTTTGCGGGAGTGGTTTGTTTGTTTATTTATTTATTTACTTGTTTGGGTTAATTTATTTTACTTGTTTTTTATTTTCATTTTTTAAATATTAATTCTTTTCGGTTTTTGATGTATTATTAACGTAGTAAAAGTTTTTGGGGTGATCTGTTTAGGTCGCTTATTTAATAGTTTTTTTTGGTCTGGAAAGATAATTAAAGCTATTTATTCGTCTAATATTTAGATTGCTTGCCGTAGTCTATTCTGTTATTTTGGCGGGGGAAATTTCTTAATTTATTTATTTGGAGTGATTATTTTTACTTATTTTTGTTTATTTATGTTTATTTTTATTAATTTTAACGGTTATTTTAGCGGGGGCGATTTGTTAATTTGTTCATTTATTTATTTATTTGGATTAATTTTTATTTGTTTTTTATTTATTTACTTATTTTTTACTTTGTATATTTTTATTTACTGTATTTGGTTTTCGATTTTTGAGTAACGTAGTAATGTTTTTTTATCATTATATAGCAGTTATAGCTATTTTTATGTCCAATTTTTGGATTAGTTATTGTAACGGTATTCTAACGGTTATTTTGGAGGGATTGGTTTGTTAATTTGTCTATTATTATTTGGACATTAACTAAAACAATTGAGTCTAAGTTTGATGGAACCTACACGCGCATGCTGAGAGCTATACCTAGCATCTCTTGGAGGTAACATCCAACTAAATCACAGCTCTATGGACCCATCCCTGATATTTCTTCAATCTTAAGTGAACGCAGAATGCGCTTTGCTGACGAGCAAAACAATAACTTGCGAGTGATCTACAGCTATGGACACCTACCCATGGCACAAGATAGACTGATCGCCCGGCAATCACCTACATTAACCGGCTGTGTTATGACACAGAATGCCACCCTAATGACCTTCCGACCTTGATTTTAAGACCGTGATGGTTGGCGTGATAGACTCATGAATGTCCGAACTAGCTCCACCGAATAAAAAAAGTTAAAATTCTGATTACAAAGCAAAAATAATGGCTTAAGATACCAGTTACAAAATCAAATTTATCAAAATCAAAGAAGTACAGAAATTTAAATATCTGGGAAGTGTTTTAACAGTGGACGGAAAATGCGACACTGAAATCCGAAGATGCATTGGGATAGCGAAAGATGCCTTCCAAAAGCTAAGGGAAATATTAAAAAACAGGAAAATTTCGTTAGAAACAAAGAAAATAGTACTAAACTGTTATTTAATATCAGTCCTCTTATATGACACTGAATGCTTGACCATCTCTGCACAGGTGAAGAATAAACTTGAGACGATAGAAATGGGATTCTACAGAAGGATGCTAAGGATACCGTTGGCTAAACATGCGAGCAACAACTGAGTTTTAGAGAAAAGGAACACATCAATGAAGATGAAATAAAAGATACAGTTCAGGATTTCCTCAGATCAATATACACCTGAAGAAGGCCAAATGGAGCAACGGCCGAAACGTTGTGATAACAACAACAGAAAAGAGGATAATAGTCCGAATATAAATAATGTAAATAATGATGACCCCCTCAGCCCAGAAATTCAGACAAAAATTATCTAGAAAGAGTTTAAACAGAGGAAGGAAAATATGACACCGAAGGTGCAATGGGATAGCGAAAGATCCTTTCCAGAAGTTAAGCAAAGTATTAAGAAACAGGAAAAAATCGTTAGAAACAAGGAAAAAACTACTGGACTATTATGTATTATCAGTCTACCTATATGGCAATGAATGCTAAACAATCTCCTCCACCCCAGATGAAGAAGAGACGTGAAGCAACAGAAATGTGGTTCTACAGAAGGATACTGAGAATACCATGGATTGAACATGTGAGCAACGGCGAAGTTTTAGAGAAAAAGTAAACAAAAAGGAAACTTATATTTAACATCCATAAGAGATAGTTGAAAAGAGGGCTTGGAAAATCTGATACCCGCAGGACAAACTGAAGGCAAAAGGAAAAGAACACATAGCCTACTTAGTGAATCGATGGTGAAAAACGGTTTAGGAGAGATAACAAAAAGACAACATTTATTATGAGCTACGAAGGAGATCGTATATCGTCCTGAATATTTGGTTTTGTTTTGTTTTACGGCATATCAACCTCAATGGGTTATTTAATGCCGACAAAATTTTTATTGCTGGTAATATTTTTTCAAACATGTGTTGCTAGTAATATTTCCCTTCAAAATCTCTATTTCGGATAATATTTTTTTAAAAAAAAGTATTGCTGCTATTTTTTTTTTTTTTGCCTAAAATGTATTGCTGGTAAGAATTTTTTTTTACAAAGTATTTCTGGTATTAAGACCCAGTTTGGGGGTTAGCTATTTGTCCATATTTGGGACACTAATAGGTGCTACCACTCCGGGTCAGGGTGGACCTGGGAACACCAGCAATTAAGAGGTGTAGTTTATCGTCCTACCCAGGACGGCTATGCCTTAAATAAACACGGAATATAGAAGAAGAACCAGCAATTTGGATTGCTGGTTTGTTATAGGATATCCATCCTCTTATAAAGCAATGGATATTGGATAATCTCCCAACGGATGGACCAAACCTATGGGCAACGACGAAGTTTTAGAGAAAATAGAAGCGAAAACTACACAGGAATATCAGGAAAAGATAGTTGAAATTTCTAGGGCACATAATGAGGAAAGAGTACTTGGAAAATTTGATACTCACGGGAGATATTGAATGCAAGAGGAACATAGAAAAATAACGCATAAGTAGAGACTTGAGACGTAAAAAAAATTTAAATATCTGGGAAGTGTTTTAACAGAGGACAAAAAGTGGTATACTGAAATCCGAAAACGAATTGGGATAGCCGAAGATGTTTCCAAAAGCTAAGCAGAGTACTAAGAAACAGGAAAGCTTCGTTAGAAACAAAGAAAGGGGTACTGAATTGTTATATGATATCTGAGGACGGTAAATGTGACACCGAGATCCGTAGACGTATTGGGACGGCCAAAGGCGCAGTTCAAAAGCTGATCGGAGTATTGCGAGACAGGAAGATTTTTTTTTGATAAACAAAGAAAAGTGTACTGAGCTGTTACGTGACATCTACTCTCCTTTACGGCAGCGAATATTGGACGATCTCCTCAAAGATGAGACTCGAGGCGACGGAGATGTGGTTCTACAGAAGGATGCTGAGAATAACATGAACCGAGTATGTGAGTAACAAGGACGAGGCTTATACTTAATATCAGGAAGAGCAGCTGAAGTTTCTGGGACACGTAATGAGAAAAGAAGACCTGGACAATCTGATACTCACAGGGCGGATAGAGGGAAAAAGAGACATGGGAAAGCATCGCATGATATACCTGGCGGGCTTAAGCAAGTGGATGACAGAATGTTGTCTGGGTGGAGGTAGCAGAGGGACGAAACTTACTGAGCGCTGCAAGGGACAGGAGGAAGTGGAGAGCCATGATCGCCTACGACCTGAAAGGGCACGGCCCATAAGGAAAAAGATCTCCTATACAGCGGTAAATGCTGGATAATCTCTTTAAAGATGAGGAGGAGATGCAACAAAAATGTGGTTCTACTGAAGGATGCTGAGGATATCATGAGAGAGAGAATCGGATACAAAGACATATAAATTGAGAGTGAAAGCGAGAGAGAAAGAGAGAGAGAGAGGGAATGAGAAAGAGAGAATCGGATGTAGAGAGAGACATACAAATTGAGAGAGAGAGAATAGGACACAGTGAGATATACACATTGAGAGTGAAAGCGAGAAAGAGAGAAAGAGCGAGATAGAAGCGGATACAGAGAGATATATAAATTGAGAAAGAAAAAGAGAGAGAAAGAGAGAATCGGATACAGAGAGAGAGAGAGAGACATACAAATTGCGAGTGAAAACGAGAGAGAGAATCGGGTGCAGAGAGAGACATACAAATTGAGAGTGAAAGCGCGCGCACGAGAGAGAGAGAGAGAGAGACAGAGAGAGAGACAGAGAGAGAGACAGAGAGAGACAGAATCGGATACTGTGTGATGCAAAGAGAAAGTCGTTGAGAAAGTGACAGAGAGAGAATCAGAGACGGAGGGACATATAAAATAAAAAATGATATATATATATATATATATATATATATATATATATATATATATGAGAGAGAGTGAGTGAGAGAGAGAGAGAGAGAGAGAGAGAGAGAGAGAGAGATGTGAATATAGAGCGAGAGATGCGAACATCAACAGAAACTAATTTTCTTTAATCTTTGTTGCCCTGAATACAGAAGAACGGAGAAAGAAAAACTGGGAAAAGCTGAAGGAAGGTAATGTAAAAAAAAAAAAAAAAAGATAAAGAAAAAAAAAATAAAGAAATGAAATCAAGTTTGGTAAATTCGCTAAAGAAGAATTCCGATCACGGTTTTCCTTTTTCTATTTTGGATTTTATCTTTCGCTCTAATCAATCCTATCGACATGGGCCGTAACACATTGACACCAGTCTCACTAGAGGGCGCTCTAAGCCAGCGAAATCCATTGGCAGATCAATCACTGAAAGCCAGTCACGTGACTCGGCGAAAAGCGATCGTTTTTTGCCCAACTTGTGCGGCCTTACGCCCCCGTTTCAGTGAACGCCAGGAGCGTGACGCGGCAAAAACCTATCCGGGCAATCGGAGAGAAGGATGGAGTGAATGGGAGAGGAAATAATGAGAAAGGAAGATAGAGAAAAGGGGAAAGAGAGAAAGAAATACAGACAGAATAGAGTTATAGAGAGATAGAGAAAGTGAGAGAGAGAGAGGGACTGGCGTGATTTTAATATTGATTGAGATTTATTTACGAGGAAAAGAAATAAAGATGGCAAAAGACAGCAGTATATAGATGATAGATATAAAAGAGATAGATGTGAACAGATTGAGATAGACATATATTTAGAGATAGATAGATAGATAGATAGATAGATAGATGTAAATAGATTGAAATATAATCATACTGAGATAGATAGGCATGAACGGACTGAGCTAGCTAGATAGATAGATATGAACACAACTGAGATAGATATGAATAGACTGAGATAGATAGATGCGAACCGACTGAGATAGATAGATATGAACAGATTAAGATAGATAGATAGATAGATAGATAGATAGATAGATAGATAGATATGAACAGACTGAGCTAGCTAGATAGATAGATAAGTAAAGCCAGTAAGATAGAGACAATGAAAAAGAGTGAAAGAGGCGTGATTTTCATAATGAAATCTATGAATGAACAACTCAAAATCAGCGTTGCCTACCCGTTTCCCGACTTAACTGTTCTGATTAGCATTCGAATACAAATGCAAGCACACGTTTCATCCAATCAACACGCGCATACTCGCGCACGCATGCACTTAGCTTATTCAGACCATTCGAAAATCTAGCCAAACACATTATCTACAGTTGTATAAACAGTAGAACGAGCACTCATACATACGGATGGAAGCACAATTATCTCCAAACGCAGACCCCAAGAGAAACGACGATGACGTCTTATTTATTAACTCGGTTACCCGTAGCTTTAAAAAGCAAATGACAACCATATTGAAGTAAATTTGTTATTGCATTGGTTATATTTTATGCATAAGTAATCTAGGATTTTTATCTCTGCAACTGATTCTGTAGTTACACGTAAGAAAGAATTCTGCTTTAAACCGTTCAAATTAAAATATCCAAAGAAAGCTAACTGAACACGTACCTTCAAAACACTTCTTCTTTAATAACATAAGTAATCTAAATTCTTTTCTATCGATACAATTAACTATATTCTCGCATAGAATAAATGAATTAGATTTTAAATCATTAAAATTAAAACTATGCAAAGAAAACTAACCCACAACGTACAGTGAAAAGTGGTGTCCACATTTAAGTAATTTTGAAATTGCGTTGGTGATCTTTTTCTGAAGTTTAATGAAGTATCATTATTCTGTTACACGACAATGCCTAGAATACGTCGATTGCAACCCTTGCAGAGTAGTGAGATATCCCCAATGAGCCACCGACTAAGTAAATGCTTCCAGACTCAAATAAAACAATCAATATTTACCTATCACCAAACCAAGTAAACGTTTACACTCAAATATAATTAAATAAACGATTAATTACAATTTTAACCAAACAATGGTAGATAGATCATAAAATCAACCAACCCGATCCTAGATCATTAATTTTATTGTATGTAAGAAAGAACTGTGAATTTTTAAATCATTAAAAATAAAAACATCCAAATAAAAACCCATGCCATAAAAAATGGCGGCGATATTTAAATAATTTGCCAATTGTGTTGGTTATACTTTCTGAATGAGTAATCTAGAATTTTTGGTCGGCTTACGGCTATATCACGTTGAAACACCGGCTCTCGTACGATCAGCGAAGTTAAGCAACGTCGACCCTGGTCAGTACCTAGATGGGTGGGTGTTTGGGAATACCAGGTTCTGTAAGTTTGGATGTGCAAGCAGTATCGTTTGTGGCTATATCAAGTTGAAACACCGGCTCTCGTACGATCACTAAAGTTAAGCAACGTCGTGCCTGGTCAGTACCTAGATGGGTGTCCATTTGGGAATACTGTTTAAGTAATTTTGCAAACGTATTGGTGATATTTTCTTCAGTGGTAATCAAGGATGTTTATCCAATTACTCCCTTTGCCATTATTTCTGTTGTATGCAAAAAAGAATTGTGATTTAAAAAAAATATCCAAATAAATGTCGTCAAAAATGGCGGCGTGATTTAAGAAATTTTCCAATTGGCTTGATCATACTTTCTGTATAAGTAATTTATAATTTTTATGTGTAAAATTAATTCTATTGTTGTGTGTAATAAAAAAAAACACACTTTTTAAATCATTATAAGTAAAATATCCAATGTAAACTAACACGAAAGGAAACAATAGTAAGACCAGGTTGCTGTTTTTCATTAAAAGCAATATTTTAGTACCCTGTTCTAATTAATTACTAATAAAACATTCCTTTGTATCCCCAGGCATCGAGTAATATTTTCTGTTACTATAACAACATAATAACTCATTAATACGTAAGGGAGATCAGTCACTTTTTTTACACATAGTTTGAGAGTTAAACATACAGAGACATTTATACCTGTCCTAATCCCCACATCTTTGCTGTTATTATCACAATGGTCGTTATTAAATATCTTACAATCTATCTATCTATCTATCTATCTATCTATCTATCTATCTATCTATCTATCTCTCTCTCTCTCTCTCTCTCTCTCTCTCTATATATATATATATATATATATATATATATATATATATATATATATATATATATCCCAGTTTATTCATTCTCTATCTGTCTATCTATCTATCTATTTATTTATCTATCTATCAGAGAGTGGGCAATTAGCTGAATTTCTTATCAGAACAAAAAAAAAATGGAATCATTGAAATAATTCGAATTCTGGGTGAGATTGCGCATTTTAGAAACGGGCACGAACCCACTTCTACCGGCAAGTTGACAGTTCCATTGACAGATATATTGTTTTGAACCACTCTCCCATCACTACTATACCTGTCCAGTCAGTAGCCACAAAAAGCTGTTCCATTTCCCAGCGGTGCCAACCTTGACAGCGTGAAGCGATCACTAATTATCTCATGTTGGATTCGAACCCGTTTCGCCGATTCTTTTGCTGATGATAGTTACCCTGAGTTTCCGATTAGAATATTGACGACACGTTTAGGCCCTAATTCGCAAAGAACTCCTCAAAGCCAATATTATTACCATATGTGTTCATTCATTCTATACACATTCACGTATTTGCAAGCGAAATACACGCGCTCAAAGGAAAGCGACGTGCATAGAAACGTGTTAAGTAATCGAATTCTTCCCGCATCATATTACTGAAACGATGAAATCACTCCGACTCCCCAGAGCCAACACCTTAATGTACCCACGTACGCCCACTCATTTATAATAGTGTAAACATGTTTAATAAAAAGTGCCCGCATGAGTATGTTTTTCTAAACAGGTACGTGATAACATGAAAAAGCTATTGCTTTTATTTCTGAGTAAGTCCCTAAATTAAATAGCACAGAGAGACACACATGTCTTAATGTGTGCGTGTCTTTTTGAACGGGTATGTATTTCAATGTACATGAAGTGCATATTTGTTCAATTATTTTCGACCGTCTCAGCCGTTATCAAAATTTGGATATTGTCAGTATGGTAGATAAGATTTTCTTTATTGCATGCTAGTATTTTTGAGAGCGTGTGTGCGCGTGCGCATACACACAAAAACATAAACCATGCACACACATTTTTAAAAATTTCAGCCCAAGTAAGGCCATAGAGCCACTAAGACTTAAAGGGGGGTTGCTGAATGTGAAAAAATAGGAAAAACTTTATTAAGGAGAGAGGACAATAAAAAAAACAGGATTCAGTAAGACAGAAGATGACAGTTGACATTGCATTTAAGTTTTTTCAAGATCAAAGTTGACTGGAAACCAAGAAGCCGACAGAGTGTTCCGCAAACAAGAATTTGGTTTGGTTTGTTTTACGGCATATCAATCTTAGAGGGTTATTTACTGCCGACAAAATTTTTATTTCTGGTAACATTTTTTTCTTCAAAAATGTATAGCTGGCAATAAATATTTTTTACAAAGTATTTCTGGTACTAAAACCTATTTTTGCACTTACATAGTGTTTTGACCCCAGTTTGGGAGCTAACTATTTACCCATAGTTGGGACCCTAACAGGTGCTATCATCCCGAGTTAGACTGGACCTGGGAACACCAGCACTTAAGAGGTGGTTCCACGCTCCTCAAAACCTCCTGATCAGAGTCCTTGCTGTTGGATGTAGTTTATCGTCTTACGCAGGACCCACAAACAAGAAGTTCGAGAAAAGAACCTGTTAGAATAGAACTTACGCTTTACATCTAACAACTGTAAATTGATGAGACCTAGCTGCTAATCTAGTATTGCGTTTAAATTTATGAAGTCTAGGTACCTAAGAGGAAAGCTCACCGAACAATTACCATGAAAATATTTATAGAAAAGACACAGGGAAACTACGTTATTGCGGTAGGAATCAGACTGAAGCCGAGATGCGAGGTCAGGACCAATAACATTGCATATTCTTCTTTGGATTTTATGAAGCATCTTTGAATACATAGCAGAAGCAACAGACCACGTGTGCCAGCAATATTCAATGCATGGACGAATGGTAGACATATAAATATGTAAGATAGTTTCTGGTGGGGAAAATTGTCTAGCACATCTTTCTAGCAATTGATTCAATATAATCCTTCCATTTCATTTTCAGTGGAAAACGTTAGCCTGAGAAGGTGCAATGAGTCACTCTCCTGGAGATTAACATAAGTCATGAGGATGGAAGGCAAAAGAAGGTTTTAAAATAGAGGAGTTTTGTTTTTCATTTTCATATGAAATATGAGTTTTATTTTTTAACAACAGATTGTACGTAATTTTATAAACCTCTTCAAATTATATATACATAAAAACAATAGACAAAAACTAAAAACCCTTGAAGCATTATACATCAAACAGTTGAAACCCAACCTAAACAAAATCAATTATGGCACCTCTACAAATATTCTTAAATGTCAATAATTGGTAACAGAAGCCATTGGTTTATACCAACGGCTTCCCATACTTTATACTTCTCCAGTTCACTCTCGTGTGGTCATGTGTGACGTCATGAGATGCGGTGCGATTTTCGCTTCTAGCGTCTTATATACACGTGTTTATCGTTGCTTAGAAATCATCTATGTAAACAATGACAGACTATCATCACTGTCTTGTCCGTATATTGTTTAATATGTTGTAATTGTCATCTTTGATAATGGCTTATGTAAGCCGAAAGCTTAGATTGTATTAAAAAAAATATGGATGAATATTGTGAATTTCTGTCTTCGTTCAACGATAATGTTATTAAACTTATCAGAGGTTACGAAAAAAATAAAATAAATAGACAAGACTTGTCTATATTATTTAATGAAACTTGTGTATATATATATATATATATATATATATATATATATATATATATATGTGTGTGTGTGTGTGTGTGTGTGTGTGTGTGTGTGTGTGTAGAGTTAATGCAAATGTGAAATTTGTCACTTAGCTAACTGATGTTAACTGCAACATCCCGACTCCAGACCCTCCAGAAATATCAGGGGTATCAGCAATTGACAATTATATATATATATATATATATATATATATATATATATATATATATATATCAAGGACAAAATATATATGGCCTCCAATATTTTAAACTTGTAATTCGAGTAGGACTTACTAAGTATGGTAAATGAGCCCACACAGAATTTAGCGGCACAATTATATATAAAATATAGAAATATATTCTCGGCTCTGGAAGAATTATGGAATTCTCCACGTTTGCCTGTCACCCCCTACGGGAAGATGCACTTTTCCCCAAATAAACCTTTAACCAATCATCACTTTATTTTTCAAACTCAATTCCCCGTTGGTTAAAAGGACACTAAAATGTAGCAAAGTTGAGACAAACCTTTTTCCCGCGCAGGACCCTGGAGCCTGTTTGGAAACTCGAAAATCTATAAAAAGAAGATTCAAGTTAGTCAGACACTGAGTTTCGAGAGATACCAGCAGACCCAACGCGTGCCAACACACTGACTCAATAGCCACTACCAACCTCTCAACAGCTCAACACAACTCGTACAACAATTGCCGCGTGAAGAAACTTAACTTACAATTTACTAAAAAGTGACATTGTCACTACAAAACAGTAATTGTACATTCAATCAAATTTATCCTATCAGTTAAATGTGAATAACTCTTCATAACTTAAATCAACACATACACACTATCACTTGAAATTACAAAATTGACAATTTTCCTTGCAGATATCAATCTATTTTAATTTCACAAACAAACTTAAACTATCAACCTTTACTCACTAAATTTCTGCATGGACAATCTTTGTAACCTTATCTCACTTTCCACATTTAACAAGCAACTTATTATCACTTTGTGTATGTCAAATATATATATATATATATAAATTCACGTTATTGTTGAAATCTCTAATTACGTTGTTTTCAGTAATTTCTTGAAATTGAATTGTCTATTTATTTTTGTTTGATTTATTTGTTGTGGATAAATGCATTACAATCACGCACATTCTTGGCCTTTACAAAAAATCACCTTCTGATACATCTTACTCAGCATAGATTCCGCAACAGAATCATATTCAGAGCGAAATTCCTGGGTATTAAGTGAGAAAGATTGCACTGCTTCAAAATGTAACGCGTGAATGTCTTGAAAATCAGCCAATGCTGTCTTTTATCAGGAAATAACACCCAATTGTGAGATCAATATTTAAAACTATTGCGACGCATAAGACAAGCGATACGTAAACAATAGAAGCGAAAAATACGGATTGGATTGCTATATAATGTCTAGCCTTCTATATAACAGTGAATACTGTACATTTCGTCAAAAATTAAGAAAACGTGTGTAGCGACAGATAAGTGGTCCTGACGGGGAATGATGGGAATGTAAGAAACACTGTTAATTTTACTGATTTATTTGTTTATGGCTTTTTAAAACCGAAAAATATATTGAATTATAAGAATAATTTTTATAATAATAATTGTAAGAATAAGATATACGTATATGTATGAGAAAAAATCCTTCTGTTTGCACAACAAAGGTCTCAAGGACAAAATGTATTTGGCCGCCAATATTTTCAAGTGGTAACTTGAGTGGGACTTACTAAAGACGGAAAACGAATCTACACTGAAATTATCGGCACAATTATGGTTTTATATATACTTCCCATACTTAATACTTCTCGTTTTCACTCTCGCGTGGTCATGTGTTACGTCATGAGCTGCGGTGCGATTTTCGCTTCCAGCGTCTTATATTCACGTGTTTATCGTTGCTTGGAAATCATCCATGTAAACAATAACAGACTATCATCACTGTCTTGTCCGTATATTGCTTAACATATTGTACAGTAATTGTCATCTTTGATAATGGCTTATGTAAGCCGAAAGCTTAGATTGGATTAAAAATATGTATCAATATTGTGATTTTCTTTCTTTGTTTAATGATAATGTTATTAAGCTTATCAGACGTTTTGAAAATAAAATAAATAGACTTGTCTATATTATTTAATGAAACATGTATGAATGAAAAAATGCTGTCTAAATACACACACAATATGCACAATATATATATATATATATATATATATATATATGGTACAAGTCTTCAGGTACTGATTGAAAACTGATCGTTGTAAAATTTCAATATTAATAACCTGCTGTTAAGACAGTGTAGCAGTCGATTTAAAAATGATTTACTGACACAAGTCCTACTAATTAATCCATAGCTGGGGAGAGAAGAGATAGATTTATGTCAGATATTTGTACGTAAATGAATATAACAGCCGCACATCCAAATTTACAGCACCTGGTATTCTCAACCGGTCAACCATCTAGGTACTGACCAGGCTGGACGTTGCTTAACTTCGGTGGTCGTACAAGAACCGGCGTTTAAACGTGCTATGGACGTAATAAATATTCCTGTTTATAGATACGACAATATAAATGCAATATTATTTCATTAAGAGTTAATATTTAATAAGGATTCGTTTTATACGCCGATATTGCGTACGAAAATGCTTCCTCTGTGATGTCTGTTCTGGGGTCATAAAAAGTTTTAGATCTCCATGCCCAATGTGTCCAGCCTATTTCTCGATTAGCATTCTGGCGTAGCTTCTGCATGATTACAAGAATTGTAAACAATATTTGTGCCTACGCAAAAGAGATCCTTTTATTCAAGTCTATTTAAGAATCCTGACCAATCGGGATTTGTTTTGTTTTTAACTTCTGACTATTGGTAGGCCAATCAGAGCAAATTGAAAACATCTCAGTTTCTTATAAAACAATCATACCACGACATTGCGTTTACCAACGGCTTCCCTTTACCACGCTATAATACAATCGGTTCTTTGCTTGTGAGATTTGTGTGTGTGTGTCATAAAATAGTATAAAAGAAATGGTCGTTATTAAATATCTTATAAGTCTTCGCTACTTTGTGGAACTGACTCCCAAGAGGATGATTTCCCGATGGCTACAATCTTAACCTGCTCAATTCTAAGTTTAACTGTTATCTTCCCCACATATCCTTATAAACTGTACCTCTTACTCTGTAATCCTCTTCCTCGAGTGGCTCTTGGGACTTGTACAGGCTGAACATTGTAAAATATAAAATGTGTGAAAAATAAATTCCGTACAAGATTATAATTGAGAGATTTATATATGCCTTAAAATGAAATTGGCGAAATTGTCGTAATTAAATCCGTTTGATAGGTTTAATCAATTTTGTAATAGTTCAGTTCATGCACAGTATATTATAGGATTATGTTTTATATTTATTTTATAGATTTCTATTTATTTTTTTTTAAAGAGAATTGTATTTGCTGCAATGTGGTGTTATCAAATTGGTTGTAATTAAAGCAGTTATTTTTTGATAGTTTAAACATTTCATGTAAGCCAAATGTCATGCGTCATACATGCTTGGGCGATCATGTCTCTCTCGATTCACGACTGAGAAGGCAGAAGATTTTCTCGCAGTAGTTTGCCATTCCTTTCTGTGGTAGACTGGTTGCCAACCAAGAGCCCAGTATGTCCTGCTATTCAGCCCATAGCGGATAAGAGATAGATTCTTACCTTTTCCAAATGTGTTTACGCGTAAATGAGGGTCGTGAATCCGACTGGAATTCGAACTCGTCTCTCCGATTTTAAATTCCGAGTCGTTATCTATCACGCTACATCTTTATATCATATACAGTTGTATATAGATGTTGTAAGATAATTTACATATAGTGATTTTCCAAGCGTAGCTCAGACTTGGCACAAGGCCGGATGGGGAACCCAGTGAGAATCGAACTCACTACTCAGTCGTAATTGTTCTAGCGAGATATGCTTGCTAACCATTACGCCACCTCGAGGTGCCCAAAGATAATTTACATATATCTGCTATATCTTTTACAATGATTATATTAATAAATAGAATTTCTACAGGGAATCAGTTTATTTCTTCATAACCGATCACCCACTTTATGACCAGTAGAATCTTATATTAATGCTCGTTGTAATTTACTGTAAAAATAACAGCTTATTTTCTTTTTAAATCGTTAGGTTTTCCTATGTGAGTCTTTAAGTATATTTTTCTAATCATATTATAATTCTGTTTGTTTCTTTGTTCGTTACTAAGCACGTACGTGACGCCCTGTCAATACCTCATAATTAATGGACTATTCCGTTTTGATCGCGAGGAAAGACTGAAAAAACATATCAGAGACACTGTTTAGTTTTAGTGGGAAAAAGAAAGAAAGAAAGAAAGAAAGAAAGAAAGAAAGACAGACAGACAGACAGACAGACAGAAGTAAAGAGAGAGATAGAGGAGGTGATAACATTCTCCGGTGTTTAACGTCTGCTCCTATAAAATGGAAAAAAATTGTCAATTTTTTTTCTTTCCTTTTGTATCCTCATATTTCGTTAAATAACGTTTTGCATTCTGTAGTCCTGGGTAAGACAATAAACTACATCCGGCAGCAGAGCTTCTGATCAGGAGATTGGCTATTTTCAGGAGCTTGAAGTCACTTCTTAATTGTTGTTGTTCCTGGGTCTACTCTGTTAGGGTCCCAAACATGGGCAAATAGTGAACCCCAAAACAAAAAGAAAACACTATGAAAGTATAAAAATACATTTTTCATAGAAAAATACCAGCAATAGATTTTTATATAAAAAATGACCAACAAAACATATATATAATGAAATTATCAACAATACGCACATACTAACAAGTTGTAGCGACTTCACCCAAATTCGTTTAAAATACGACCAAACAATCAACATGGACTCCTTCATGGCATTACTCTATATAATATTCTATAATTTTTTTTAAAGAAACCGAACTATATTCCAAACTATATCTTCAACAAAACATAAAACAAACATATCACCGCCTCTAGTAATTATGTCTACACAAACATGTATATGCACAAAAGCTGAGTATCATCTACCATGTATTCAGTTGTGAAAGCAGAATAACATATACTATATTTTTATTACTTTCAGGCTCCACCAAAAATTAAATTTCGCTATTAAATGACCCATGAAGGAGTTAATATGTCGTTAAACAAAGAAATCAAACAAATCAATCAAACCAGCATTCTGATTATGATACTTGTTGGAATATTTTGTTAAAATTGTTAAGCTCCAATATTTAATCAGGCGATAGGATATTTTATTGCCGTAGAACTCGTAAGGAGCTGATTTGATTATTAACTTAAGAATTCAGATTCATCAGAAAATTCAAATAGGAAAACAGTAAAATTTTCTTGGGTATTTTTTAGTTATTATTTGATTGAGAGGGCGACAGGCCAACAAATAATGTAAAGAAAGAAAGATAAGATCGAAGAGGCAGTAACATTGTAATGGATTTTAACGTCTGCTTCAGTGAAATGGAAAAAAAACTTGTCAATTTGAAATCTTTTTATTTTTGCTCTTTTACTTCTTTAAATAACGACCAGTATTCATATTTATGATTGTTATTTTAATATTTTGTTAAAGCTGTTAAGCTCAAATATTTAACAGTGAGATAAGGAAATTTTCACGGATATTTTATAGTCGTAGAATTTGCCATGAGCTTATTGAATCATTAACTTAAAAATCAAGATTCATCGGAAAATTCAAATAGGAAAAGCGTTAAATTTTCACAGGTATTTCTAGTGAGTATTAATATAATATCATTTTGTACATTCATTTCTGGGAGGGTGAGATTATTATTTAACAGCAATAGAAAACTGATTTCTGACTTTATGCCCAGTAGACAATATTCCGCAAGGCTGATAGATAAGACAATATTTTAAAACCCTGACTATTATAGCGACTCGAAGAGCCGAGTTCGAATCTTAGTCGAGTTCATTACATTCACTTACGTGCTAATATCCTTGGCAAAGGTATGAATCTGTAGAGGACTGTGTGTGTATTTATGTGTTGTTGTATTAGAAACACGTGTGTAACTCCTGGTAGAATATTAAAAGGTCCAACTACATGAAAATTGCCGGACTCAAGTTAAGTCCAACTGAAGAAGACAAACAAAACCGATACATATGTCAACAAATATATGTATTAAACAAAACAATTTTACAATGGACAATAACATTTGTGTGTGTGTGTGTGTGTGCAAACATTGGTGTCTGTTCTTTGGTGAATGTTTGTACGTACGTGTATGTGTATAATGTTCACGGCATCTTCCACAAATGGGAAGACGCGGATCTTCTAAGAGAGCTTACATTGTAGTCGCTGAAATGAAGAAATGAAAAAGAGAACGAGGCGAGAAGTCGCCCAGTATTTATAGTATAGGGAGAATGACCCCTAGTGACAATTTGGGAATTAAGAAGGAGCTAACTCCGACAAATCCATCTCCCCCGCCCAGATAAATAGGAGGTCACACTGGATCCTACGGCCTTGAGCGACAACCGACCTAGGAGAAAGACAACTTTGAATTTAAAATCGGAGGCCTTGTATACGGCCTGAGGGCGACCCACACCATTTTCCGTTGTCTTCAGTTTGGAGTGACGATGGATAGTGCCAAGCTATCTGAAAGACCACTGAAGGAATCATGAGGGAGAAGAATCAATGCATGTTTCTTTTGCCCTCGGGTCCCCATACCCGACAATTGAAGAAGTCAAGGGACTGATGGTGATGATGACTATTATAAGGTTTTCACGTGTGACATTTTACATATTTATATATGTAAAGTGTCATATCGCTAATGCAAGGGAGATAACTTTATAATGAAAAGTTACAAAAAACACTTGGCATAAAATATCTTTGCCTTTAACTTGTACTTTTTTTTTATAGATGAGTAACTATTTTTTTACAATGATATTCACTCTGTACATGGCCCAAGAGCCACATAAGGTAGAGTTTTACATAAGGAAATGACTTTAGAAAGAACCGAAAGCCCAATCCTAAACGGGAAACAAAGGATAAACCTCTACTCCTGTTAAATATACCGGCGAGGAGTGTGAATCGAACGATAGGCGAACCTATCTACTCCTATTGGGAAAGGAAAAAAATAGTGAGAGACGTTAGGAGAATAGAGTTAAAGTAAATTTTAGAAGAAACCGGAAACCCAATTCTAAACAGTAAACAAGGGATAAACATCTACTTCTGTTCAGAAGAATGAGGAGGAGTGTGAACTGGACGATAGGTGAGCCTATCTACACCTATTAAATCGATTAGGAATATATTAGAGAATTTACTCGCTAATTATTTTGTTTGAAAATATTAGATCAGGGTTTGACATTAGTAATACACTTAATATTCTAGTTTAGTCTTTAATGCTTCTAAAATCCTAAATATTCGATTATCTTCAATAATGAATGAGGTACAAAATCCAGATTAGTTTCCTCGAGATTAGAAAGTTTGATATTTGTCTGTAGAAACAGATCAATTTCGAAATATAGGAGACAATCATTAATCACTTTAGAAAATT